TACCTGCTCGTGGCCTTGATCGTAATCTGTGTACATGTTGCGTTGACTCTCGCGACGTCTGCCCGTTGCTCTTCTTTCCCGATTGACTCGATAAGGTCCAAATGGATCGCGCAACATAGCGTGATCCACTTCCTCGTCGACTGCGACTTTATCAAGAGCTTGTGGAACACGCTTCACGCAGTCACGGTCCGCTTGGGAGTGACCTTGTCAACAACACTCTCGGGCTACCTCTACTCGACGCCGAAGACGGCCTCCAACATGCACCGAGCCGCGTTCTGCTACCTTTGGCCAGTGCTCCGCGCCTGTCATTTTGCTGCAACTCGAATCGCATTCTGACCCAACAGAACCCCAACGAACACGACGGCGCCGCTCGTCGAGACCTGGGTGCTGATGAGCAATGCGCACAGTATCCGTGCAGCTGGCTAGCGATGTTGGCTAGGGTGCGGTGTGCCAAAATAATGGACAGGTCGACAAAGCCGGATAAACCTTTACAAGTTGATACCGCCATGGGACCTTGAACAGCGCGCAACACGTCAACAAGAACGACGACTCTCTCAAGAACCCCGAGATGGCACCGCCTGTTCGGAGCCTTGTGTATTTTCAAATCATCGACGGCAGCTGCGGCGTCTTCTAGGTATCACCAACGTCCCGCTGAGCGAGATTGTTGCCCACTGGCGCGGGCGCCTGCGAAGCCACGTGCTGCGCCTGAAGCAAGACGCCCCGGCCAACGTTGCCACCGCCCGCTTCTTTGCCCCGCCCGAATCGCGCCAGTTTGAGGTCGACGATAACGTGTAATAATAATACATATATGTAGTAAGCTCTCTTAGTCTCCTGCACATTTGCTTGTGGACTCCCCGTAAATTGATATCGGGTCTTTTCTTGGATGAATGCGCATGTTGGTGCTGAACACCATGAAAGAGTATCTTGATTGGACTGTGGACGCATCGTGCACTGGGCGAAAGGTCAAATTTGGGTGCCAAACCTGCCATCAACCTAGGGTGTATAGTACCTAGGGTGCTAACTCGAGTCCAAAGCTCCAGTTCTCTCCAGTTCAAGAATGATCCGCGGCTTCAAGCTGATGGCATTGCACACTTCGATTGACATTCGAACGAGAAAATGGTGGTCCCAACCCACGCGCCCATGGCCAAGTCCGACTGCACGCAGGAGGCGCCATGCTACGACCCGGTCAACAAGG